CGACAAATGCGCACTCGACAAAAGCGTGCCGACAAAACCGCGGTGAGAAACCTGCGACGTCAAAAGTGCTCCCACAAAAGAGCGCCAACAAAACCGCGCCCACAAAAGCGCGATTAGGGTTAAGGTAAGAGTTAGGGTTAGGTTTAGGTTTAGGTTTAGGGTTATTATGTTGTTTTTGTTGTTTTTTGACGGCGCGCTTTCATCGGCGCGCATTTGTCGGTGCGCTTCTGTGGGTGCAATTTTGACCTCGCAGTTTTCTCACCGCGGTTTTGTCGGCACGCTTTTGTCGAGTGCGCATTTGTCGGTGAACCGTGTTTTTGCAGCAATGCCACTCTGCTCATTCAAATAAAAGCAGGCTATATACTGAGTGAGAGAATAAGGAATTCCAACATACATTTCGTATACTGTACATTACTAACAAATCAGTTCTTTTACACCCTATAACTGTGGATGGTGTTATTTTTTATATGAAAAGCTTTCTATTTCTCTTGGGCAACAGGGGTTCAATACATTGAAAAAACAAGATCATTTTAAGGCAATTGCCTTTTAAACCAGAGTTCCCCAATCTTTTCATCTTTGCAGACTGTGTGTGGAGGGGGGGGGAAATAGTTCTCCACACATGGAATGCACACACACACACACTCACCACTGCTCGCAAGATTGGGGATGCACCCATGCATGTGCATACATGCACACCTGCCAGTTCCACAGCCAAGTTCTACATGGCCAAGTAGTGGGCTGCGCCCTGGTTGTTGGGACCCCTGTTTTAAACTACTTATCCAGTTTTGTATTAAGTGCAAATTTGATAAGCAATCCTTCTTCCCCCTTGTCCAATTTATTAATAAGAATGCTAAAGTGAATCAGTCGCAAGAATTGAACTCTACAACCTCAGTCCAATTTATTGAGAAACCATGATGAGTATTCTTTAACTACAGTTTTCAAGCCAACTGAAGAGTCAGCTAATAGAAGAATCAACTGGATGATATGTTTAAGGTCATTTCTAAATGTAGACAAGAATTATCTCACTAACCTATAAATTATCTATATAGTTGAAAATTTTGACAACTATTTTCCTGATTTATTATATTCTTATTATAGATAAGATGACGTTGAGCTTGGTAGGTAGAACTTTGCTTGGGAACCTTACTCATACTGAATGTGGCAAGTACATACTACTTCACAAACAATTCTAGAATCACTGGGACTGTCATTTTCAAATGTGCAGGCAAAGCAAAATTAACAGAAGAGTCGACATACAAAACAACTGATACACAGCACAAACCACATACAGTTGTGTAATGCAGAACTACACTAGCAGGCATTCAGTGTCAGGTGCTATCCTTTGGTTTGGAGAGAAGAGGGTAAATGGGTGGATAGATGTACGGACAACCAGCAAGCTGTCCTTCTTAAGAATTCCAATAAGAAACAATGAATGCAAATGATACTTGGTCCATCGTTATGTACTTGATATAGCTGCAGGATAACAGACCTTTAACAATACCACCCCCTGTGCTTAAAAACATCCCACACTGTTAAAATTAGCCATTGGAAATGACACTTTTTTTATTATACCATGATATCCTAGGAACGCACATGAGTATGTTTTAATATGTATATTGTTTGTGATGCCACTAGTGACTGCTAATGAACAGAAGTTTTCTAACTGCAAGTTATTCAAATAATTTTTAAATTCTTTTGAAGGATTTTGCTTTGACTTTGTCTGGCTGCAACTACACCAAATGACACAACTGTTGCATTACAACATTTTCACTGCAAACAGAGGTTGCTTACTGTATTGCTCTGAATGGTTGAGATGACAGGTAGCATTTTCTATTGGTGGAATCTTCACTTATTTGGCAATCTTCTTTTGGGACAGCCTTCACTTTCATTTTTATACAAATGATAAATTGAGCAAATAAGAAATTGGGGGAATTGGAGGGAGATGGATGGTCAAGATTTATGTCATGTATGTTATGTATGTGTATATATACATATGTGTGTGTGTGTGTGTGTGTGTGTGTGTGTGTGTGTGTGTGTGTGTGTGTGTAATATATAAAATTAAAATAAAATGACAACTTTGCCAATCCAGGTATTTCATTCTAAAAAGCAGTTTAAGGATAGACAAGTGAGGTACCATCAACTCTATAGTTAATAAATGTTCAAAATAAGGCAATTAGATGTTCATGAACTTTATAAATGCCTCTGCATTTATAGAGCTATATCTAAAAGTAAGTGAAGAAATATAACAGTTGAATGGTGGAGGGAACACAAATATCAGATTATGACAGTGAACAGGGTTTAGATGTACAATATTTTTATATGCATGTTTTCTTGATGTGTTATATTACATTAGATCTGTTAGGATAGGCTATTACTAATGTGTTTATTATCACTGCCTTTTGAAACATGAAACATCATTTCAGATTGTTTGCTCCTATCTGCATCTATAAAATAATTATTCAAATATGTACTACTGAATGCTTATTACAGTTACTATAGTAGCTGAAATGAAAGAAACTTTAGGGTTTATAAACTTTTTTTTGCAAAATTTGTTTGAAGCCATTGTTCAAATGCTATTTATAAAATAAAACTGAAGCAGCACAACAGTTAACAGTTGAACAATAGTTTTAACTAAGCATGGAGATATAGAGCATAAACATATAACTAAACTAACAACTGCTTTTATAAATCAAAAATGAGAGAAGTATGGACATATTTCTAGAGTGTTTGTGGCCATTTCGAATGTTTTGATTTTGTCACAAAATAATTCTTCTCATCCAGGACTTAGGAGTAATGTGTTTATGATTGCAAGAAAATAAATATAATGTGGGACCTAGCATCTTCAGGTTATTCACCTAATTTATAACTTTTCTATTTCCATTATCTGCAATATTCCTAAAGTTAAGGCCTACTTAACTGAAGAGAAATGAGTAATGGAAATAAGGAAGTAAATGAAAGAATCAAGTCCACCATACCTGCTGCTGCTGAAAATGGAGGAGTTCTACTGGGCTCATTTCTCCATTGGTTTCTCCACTGGCTCCTCCCTCTCTTCCACATCCTCCTCCACCACCACCGCCACCTCCTCCTCCTCCATCATTTGGATTGTTTAGGCTGCTGACACCATTTTGACCGGAGGGAGTAGAACGTATGGTCTCTGAGGCTGATTCAACCATCATGACTTGCTAGCAGCACCTTTATAAAGAAAGAAATAACAAGATATCTGAGCAAAGTTACAAGCTGCAGGTTCTAAATTATGCTTGAGGATAGCATTCTAATAAGTGATGTTCCTTTGTCTTCTTTGCGAAGGAGATTTGCAGTTGTATTTCAGAGAATAAGATTTATACACAGACTATTTTTGAGTTTAAAATACATTTTTGAACCATTTGCTAATAAAACCATTACCAATCAAACACATGAGTTAGCTATTTTTCCCTTTCTTAATAGTATTCCTATGAGAAAGGGAAATTCAGGATTGTTACAGATGGAAGAGTGATGTCAAGAGGGTCTAGGACAACTTGCCATAGCCAACTAACCATGGCCAACTCGCTATATGACCAATTCATCATGGCCAATTCACTGTATCTAACCCGTCACAGCCAATTCACCATGGCTAACTCACCGCAGGACAAATCTCCACGGGATGAGAGTTACAGTGATATCAAAGAAATAACGGAATGGGATTGTTAAAGAAAGGATACAAAAGGTTTGACAAAATGAAATGTGAGTGACAAAAATTAAAATACTTTAAAAATTATTTTTTAAAAATTAATTAAATTGTGGAATTGTTCCACGGGGAGTTGTTCTATGATGAGTTGGCTGTGGCAAGTCATCTCACAGTAAGTTGACTGCAGAGAGTTGGCTGTGGGGAGTTGGCCGTGGCAAGTTGTCCCATTCTGATGTCAAGAGACTTCTTGTATAAATAGTTCTTTGACAGAGATACAGCAAATTGTACAACAAACAATTGGGTGGGTGAGGCTACATTCAGTGTATAAGATGCATCCAAATTTTCACCCTCTTTTAGGGGAGGAAGCACATCTTATACTCCAAAACATATGGTATATAAGAAAATACAATATTAAGTGCAAATGCTGCACAAATCTTTAACAGAATTTTCATTCCATACCACAGGGAAAATAGACAATATAACATTTATTACAATTTTACAAGGGGATCATAAAATATTGCAGTCAAGTACACAGACCAATATCTCCACTTTAGTATTCAGCATACTAAATTATATACATTGGGTACTAATCTGCTCTTGAATACTTAAAACAAAGAGATAAACTGGGTACTTTATATAGCAGTAGTATAGTTCAATGAGAACCACCACTTCATGAAAATTTACAGAGTAAAACCCAACTTCTCAATGCAAATTAATACAGAGACACAATGTTGTTCATTTGTATTGTGTTCAAGCATTCTTAACCAGAACAGGCACTAATGCACAACTACTGTTTGATATGTGCATATTGTACAGGAACATTGCAATGAACAAGGATATACATTCAATTTCACAGCTACTAAAATTGTTGGCTAAGTGGGTACAAAAATAGCCAGGAAAATGGTTGAAGCCTGGGAAATATGCCCCTTGTCAGTCAACAGGAGTGTTAATTTACCACTAGTTATCAGGTACTTAACAACCTTGGCAGCACAAGGAAACAAGAGCAAAGACCTTAATAACCAGCCATCAACAATCCAATCAACAACTAAAAAGTCACACATAACCAGGCACCACCTAAATACTACTCATAGAATATCCCAAAGTATGCTTTCTGGTGAAAGGGAAGTTCCCTGATGATGAGCTCCAGCATGAGTCTAAAAGCTTGGAAGACTAAACCTCTAGTCCCAGTGACTGACCCAGATTGGATCCTGTAACATTATCCTGGGAATATTTGTCTTAATTCTTTGTACAGGAACACTTCTGGATGTAAACCAGAGAGGAAATAATTATTTGAAGGCATCTGTGGGTACCGTATGTTTCGGAGTATAAGACGCACCATTTTGCTCATTTCTGCCATCCCCAGGCGCTCTCTGAAAGCCTCCGTAAGGGTATGCACGGCCATTTTTTGTGAAGGGGGCGGGGCTTCGGGAGGCAAAAAATGCTGTATTTGATGTATAAGATGCTCCCAGATTTTCAGCCTTTTTTGAGGAAAAAGGGTGTGTCTTATACGCCGAAAAAAATAATCTAAAATTTGTCTAACAAATATCCTAAAAAATCCCATTTATAGACATTATTCAAAATAGGCAGAACAAAATTAGTGTAGTGGGTGGACGCCATGAGGCTAGAAGCTGGAAAGCTGTAAGTTCTAGTTCTACCTTAACCAGCTAGATGCTCTTGGGCCAGTCTGTCTAACCCATAGCCCTACAAATAAGTCAACAGCAAACGGCAAAAGCATTGCCAAGAAAACTGCAGAGACAGTCTCCAGAAGCAAAACACTGATTTGAAAGAACACACACACACACACATATCTGAAAGCACATCTAATGTCTTCATAGACACTATCTGGTAGTTAGGAAACTATTGTAAAAAAACCTCTAGAAACAAACTTACTCTCTTATATTACTGACACTTTTCAGGAAACATGCTGTGCATAGACAGTGAAAGTAAATGAATAAAGCTGAAACATAATCTATCATAAAAAATGTTCCTACAGCTATTCATTAGAGTTTTCATTAGAGAGAAGCAATGCTTGTTATATTAAAAATGTTAGGTTAAAAGCTGTGAGAAACTGTTCCAATAGTTATATGCAACTGTCACTGTGCTAGTGGAGATAAGAACTGCATGCCAACACAATTGAAGAGCAGAATAGTTAGGAAAGCTGAGGGTTTACAATTTCTAGATCACAAAATGTTTGTGAAGACAAAGAATCAAGAGAGGAACACACACACACACACACACACACACACACACACACACACAAAATCATGAGCATAGATACATGAATCTTCCAGACACAGGACATAAAGATATTCATTTATTTGTTAAGTATGTATCCCACTTTATCTCAATGAGCTCAAAGCTGCTTACTCAGCATTCTCTGTTCCAATTCCTCTGTCCTCAAGTATCCATTATATTCAGTGGGCAGTGCTGAGAGAATTGTGACAAGTTCAAACTCACTAGAGAGTTTCCATGGCTGAAAGCAAACTTGAGTCTGGATCCTTCCAGTCCCAGTCCAGCATTTGACCATTATACCACACTAGCTCTCAAAACCTTTCTATTCAAAAATTGCAAAACTACATAAACAGCATAAAGAGGCCAACAGTGGGAAAGATTACTCACTTCTTCAAAACCACTGACACCATGTGAGTTCATTATTAGGAAAGACAGTCATAGTTGAATTATCCGATATAGTAACAGAGAGTAATTCTACTCCCACCCTTTATAGGAAGGTTCAGAATACCTTCCAATTTTAATTTTCAACATTAAATAATGTCAATAAGGTTTTATGTATTTTCCAATTAAACACTTTTAAACTGTAAAATGATAATGTCCATTGCAATTGTTAAAAACAAGGAAGGAGTGGGAGGAATGGAGGCATTCCTACATCTATCTTTCAGTCCTTCCTCTCAACTACATTAGGGATTACAATGAAGGGAAACAAAAAGCAAACTTGCTTGCCCTCATGATGCAAGAAGCACCCCATGCAAAATGAGAATAACATCAATTCCCAATCATCAATTCCTTGTCTCACTTAGCTCTGTACACAGACAACAATCTTCATTATTGCAACATGAATAAGGTCTTGCTATTTTCCACTGCTTGGGATGGGACAATACACTTCTCAGTTTGAATGCATGATTTTAGGAAAGATAAAGATAAAGTTTTCCTAGATGGTTAGACAATACTTAATAATAATTTAACATTACTCCCACTCTTCTCTCAGCAAAGCAAAAATACCTCAAATGCAAAACACAGCACAGATTTTGGAAATTTTACTTTTATTTGTCCCGGATATTCAGACTAATAATTTTGAAAGTAATCTGTGTGGAGCTTTGCCCTCAGCTCAAACCGCAGTCAATATCATGAGATGAACAAGAATCTAAAATGGTTACTTGCTGAGTAAATTGTCAGAAACACTTATCTGTCATAAGAATTGTCTCTGGATAGTCCCAGCAGCTGGTACCAGTATGCATTTAATATATGAAGGCTGGAAGAGAAGAGAGCTCCAATAGTTATAGCTGGGCTACTGTTTATGTTCTGAGATTGAAACTTGAAGGTGTATTCTAATCATGATCAGTATTTCCTCTGCCACTACTAAAATGAATTGTTCATCTACAAAATAAAAGCAAATATGTATCCAAAGTATTTCAGTAATCTAGGAAATTGAAATTTAAGGAGATTGAAAATTTATAGCTCAGGGCTGAATTGTAGGGTCCTCAGTGCTCTCTGAGCTTGTCTGTTTTGTTGCAAACATTTCATTACTCAGCAAGGTAATATCTTCTGAGGAGGAAATGCCAATTGCTTTAAATTGATTATCACCAATTTTGAGTGATAATCAATGAGTAATTTCTGCTATTGTAATTACATTCAGAAAACTAGAATCAAACTAATGGTAATGAAAAGCAAACAAACTGACACACTGGGATTTTTCACTTTCTTCCTCTATAAAGAAAACTGTACTCATTCTTCCTTCAAGACTGCTACTTTCTAGATCAAATGAAGCACAAAGCCCAGACTTGGAACTGATCAGACAACTAGTCAGCAAGTTTGAAAGCAAAAGGGACAGAAGAAGAGGGTGGGTTTTTTTTAAACTACCTTTTTCTTTACTGTGTGTGGATTTTGCTTTTGCTTTTTTGGCACGATAGACCGACAAACTGGGAACAACATAATTGCTGAAATGTGGCATGTAATAATAGCTATTCAGAAGCTATCATTCATATTAAACAGGGTGAAACAAGCTTCTCATTTGCATGTTTGAGATTATATGCATTTCAAAAGTCATTTCCACAGGATGTGTGAATGACATTAATTCCCATGTGGAGTTGTCGATTCCCTCCTGTAGCCCCTCACACTATCAAATACACACAAAGTGACATAGAATGGCATACTTGTCCCAGGGAATTCAAGGACAGAATGTTACCATGACTTGGTTTTAGGGAAAATATACATTTCTAGGTTAACAATATTTTGCTGGATAAAGAATGAGATGAAATCAAATAAATAATCTTGGAACACAGAAGTTACAAAG